ACATGCCCCTTGATCAGCAATTTTATGTTGTCCAGTTTTTTCTGAAAAGTACTCTAACCAGCTTTGGACCTGTTTTCCAGTATGCATTCGTGTAAATGTCGTACGAAGGATTCCCGTCACTACAAATAGCAACTTGGTCATTGTTATCGATCTGGTATGTGCTGACAGGCTGTTAGTTAGTTAGTTAGTTAGTTAGCTGGGTTATCATCATTGCACTCCGGACATGTCCATAGGTGCTCAGATCCTCTCCTCAGTATGAACCCCAACGTCCGATGGCTAATAGTACCAGTTCTATGTTGATTAACAAGTCTTCTGGAGTAGCTGGCGTGCGTCTCGTTTTTTTTGCTGTGCCGATCTAAATTCCCAACTCTGCCATTCTGGCGAGTGATGTGGATTCACTGCCACCAAAGTCCTCTATCCTTCCCATTTCTCTGAGGGCATTGATAATATCAGCGTGATCCATAGGCTGACCGTCGGTAGTGATAGCGGATCCAGCCAACCTGTCAGCTCTTTCATTTCCATCGACGCCTGCGTGTCCCGGAACAAAAAATAAAGGTGACGCCACGCACAGTGGACTTCTGCAATGATTCAAGCCATTGTCTTCGCACTGAACCTGCCTGAACCCTCCGAATCATACTCATTGAATCGCTGAGTATACGCGGGTGTATTTTTGTGTTTCAAGCCAGGCAAACGCTTGCGTCACTGCCATCACCTCCATCGTCATGCTGCTGGTTGTCATGGAGAAGGCGCCGTTGGCTTCTTTGACTGTTCTGCCCGCTGAGCGTGCTGCAAATGCCCATGCACTTCTTCTTTGGCGTATAACGGATCCGTCTGTATAGATTAGTGCATCTGCTTCGTCTGAATTTTCACCGATGAGAGCTTTGACCTCTGCATTAACAGCAACAGGATTCTCTTCTCTACATCGCCTGTTGAGTGTGACAATACAGGAAAATGTACAAATAAACCCCTGAGGCACAGGTATCCATTTTGCACCGGGTATGATGTCGGTTAGGCTGCATATTTGCCTAATAACATCTTCTGCCCGACCTAGCTACGATTTTCCCCTTTTCAGTCTGTCGCCCTTTTCACTAAAAAGTGTGTGTTTCTTATCAGCACATATTTTGAGTTATGCCCGAGCCCTCCACATCCTGATCCTTTGGTTCATTGTTGGAAAGTCAAGTAAATACCTCATTGCTCCACAGGATGTGTCTCCTGTACATCCCAAAATAATGCGCATGGCTTCATTTTGCACCTTTTCGAGTCGTTTAATCTGGGTAGCACTGACAGTGAGGATGGCCATAGCGTATTCAATGGGGGAAAGGACCAGACCGTAGAATAGAAGTATTAGTAGTCTTTGCTCGAAATTGGACGCAGCCATAATCCTCATTGCAGATAGACCTTTGCGTGCTTTTGTTATCACATGGTCAACGTGTTCCCTGAATGACAAGCTGCGATCGAACCTCACCCCGAGAAACGTCATAACGTTGGTTCTGATCAATACATTATCACGCATTTTCACTTCTGGTAAGTCTGACTTGACAATGTGATTGTTCAAAGAGAACCATGACACTGATGCCTTCGAAGGATTGACATAGGCATTGGAACCGTCACACCAGGCGGCAATTCGATCGAGTTTTTTGTGCATTGTGCTGGCGATCTCCTGTCTATCACGCCCTCGTCGATAAATCAAAATGTCATCAGCAAATGACAAATTCCTTCCCTTTCCATTCAGCTGAAAGGCTGTGTTTCTTAGCACTTCAGATTGAGTCAGCTTAAAGGGATGAAACATTTTCTTTTCCTACTGTTGCTGCAACAACAAAAATATCTTGTGTTGGTGTGCTAGAAGATACATTAGATCGTACTTTAGATGTGAAAGATGAAAGTGATAATGATAATTCATTGCTATCACCTGATCATTGCATGTTATCAGCTGATAGTGGCATGCAGTCAGCATCATCTGGTGATATCGCTGGGCACCATCAGGACGACCACTTTTACTTCCCAAAATTCTGCCCGGTACCTGTAGTAGACTCAGTCAACCTAGAAGTTCCGATTATTTTTTTATTTTTCAATTCTGACTCCATGTCAGTTTGAACAAACAACTTTGGATCTGTATCTAGCCATCATAATATCTTCCTGTCATGCACGCATGCACCCAAACACACACCCACACACTGTCATTATTATGCTATACTGTAAGTAACTTTACAGTTCTTACAGACCTTTTGAATTATGGGTTCCCAGAATTTTTAAATGGCAATTAATTTGATTTTTTTTTAAACTGACACCAAAAGCTAAATTTCTAGGAAGTTACGAGTTCCTTATTTTTTCCCCTTGAACTATGGGGTAAAGGGAGAGGGGGAGGGGTAAATTTATTCTGCAGAGCACCAAAGGTGAACCACTGAGCCAGAGAGAACTTTGCACTATATCTTACATCTCTTGGGACTGGAGAGTCAAAATAAAAACGTCTAATGCCCTCCTCCCATCCCCCCCCCCACCTCAAAAAAAAAATTCTATGCAGCGTGGATGTCAGCAAACAGTATACCACAGGAAGCATTGATGAACAGACCAGGTGGGAAGCAAAGAAGAGGCCGACCATACAAGTGATGGACAGAGGGAATTACAGAGTTCCTGGGAATCCCAGTTTACAAAGCACACAAATGGGCTCTTTCCCATAAATTATCCGTCATTATGACACCGCAAGGTACAAGAGGATCCAGATGAGATAAATGCCAAATTATCACTGACTGAAAATATGAAAAGGCAATTATGGGTAATTATTAACTGAGAAAGTCATAAACAAAAAGATGCAGAGAAAGAAAGCCCATAACAGCCCTGTCGATAAAGAATTAGACACAGAAATATAAATAAGAAACTTCCACCCACCCCCCACCCCCAAATCACACAAATCTTTTTTCTTTCCTTTTTTTGTTTTTTATTAGTATTCTTTTATTTGGGGTTCCTTTCACAACAATCCTTCCTTTCCCCTTTTCTAAGTCTTTTGTTTTTTAACTTTTATTTTTTTTTATTGTGTTTACTTCTGTATACATATCTGGGCAGAACTTTGTGTTCACTTTTTACTCTATCTCTTGATTAGCTATCGGGCTCCAACATGCTTCATAGATGACAATGCAATGTGCTGTAAAAAAAAATACTCTGAATATTGTTTTTAATACTTAGTTTTTGGTTTCAGAATTATGGTATATTTATATGATAAATTATATTGTAAAAGTTAGGTTAGCTGCGTAACCTGTCAGCTCTGTGGCTAAGTTGATGCGAACGCTTTGTGGTGCCGGGTTCAATCCCATCTGCGGGCCATGCGTCTTGCGTTGGTTTCAGCAGTGGTGTCAAAAAAGCCAACCATCCAAAAAACAATGGCAAACTACTGGACGGCAATTTGCCTAGAAATATCACTCAACAGCCAGGGGTTGTTGGGGTTGGTTATGCAACGTCCTGTAAAGGATACACAACTAACCTTTTATTGTCAAGGGATTTAATCCATGCATTCACTATCATTCACTATTGGACACCACAGGGGAAAAGATCTCGTGGAAGACCAAGGGAAACCCTACGTAGAACTATCATCAGGGAAGGCTCGCTCATGGGCCACTCAAACATCCAAGACCTACAACGGATTGCAACGGACCGCCGTGCATGGAGAGTCGCGACCTCTGCCCTATGTGCTGCACTCGACACAAGAGGAAAGACTAACTAACTAATTCACTATCAAAACTATCCTAGCATTTAGGTGCGTGTGTTTTTTTAACCCTCAGAGGACTGCCAATTATGTAGAGAATATACGAGACATCGAGGAGCACATTTACCAATTACATAAGACAATCACACCCACCATTACAGAACCTGTTGAGAAACAAATGTAGACATTTGATATAGGCCCCTGCTTATGAAGCGAGGAGGTCCAAAAGTAGTCCCTAAAACAGGCTTTGATGAGAAAGACCAAAAGTCCTGGATTGGTTTCTTTTCATGGTAATGAAATAGTTGCACAGAATAGAATGGAAGAATGAACCAGATTTATAGGATGTTAAGGATGAATCAGATGCGTTCGGCCAAAAGGGGCAGCTCTATCAACCTAGATGTAAACCACATTACAACATGCCGACCGCCCTTTTACTTGCCATCACTGCAGAAGAGGAGGAGGTTGAGGAAGAAAAAAAACAAAAATTTGTTTATTCTTTTCTATGGCATTTTCTCAACTCTGTATAGTTTAATTTAGTAATGGTGTTATATCTGCCACTCGTTTCCTGATTTGATTCAAGAATTGCCAAATCTTACTTCATACTTCTTGTAGTCCCATTTAATTTCATCAACTTATCTGTAATTTTTTTAATTCCTGGCACATGATCAGTATTTAGTCAGATCCTCTTTCAAGAAAGTTAAAAAATTACAACATTGTTTAAGATATAAATTATTCACAATCAATCATTTTGGACATGTTATGAGGAGAAATGGTGATCCAGCCTGTAATAGATATTTTTTTTTCATTATCTGACAAGTAAGGGCAGAATCTTTTTGACTACATAGCTAGTAAATGCCGATGGATCTGTAGAAATACAAGTGTAACATAATATACCCATGCATAGCTGGCATGAAAAATACCCTTTACTTGTTTTCAGTTTGAGGAGAAATGATCTGGAAAACATAATCTTAACTGACTTGATGACAAAAAGCCAAGAGAAAGACAAAGACTTGGTCAAAAGGCATAATTGAGACTTGGTCTAAGAACTGCTGATCATGTGAGAAGGCAAACACTGGTCACATGACTTCAGCATTGGTCCTCAGAGTTACTAATCTGATGATCATGATGATGATGATGAGGCTGAAGCTTAAAGTGTAAGGACTAAAATTATAAACACTTTGCAAATATGAATACTTCATTATGTCGTGATGAGTTTAATAATTGTTATTATTGCTTTGTGTAAATATTGGTTTATTTTTCATTTATTTTCTTTGCATTGACTGGTCTAAGAAGATACTGAATAATGGCATACAAAGCTCATAATGATTATGATAATCAGGCGGTCCTGAATTCCCTTGAGCCAGGAGATCGTGTGGAGTTCGAAAGAACTTTTTATAGCCACTGGGGAATTTACATTGGTAAGTAGTTGTTTTAAGTGGGGTATTTGACTAATGTATATTTATTTATGTAGATATAGCTTTCATATCTTACGGATTTGTTGCGTGATATGTTTTAGACATGATGGCATTGCTTCTGTGCTTGTTTGTTAGAATATATGTAAGATATGTATGCTGTATAGTGTGTTTATTAGTTCTCAGTTTTTTTACTGGCTGTGCCATGGACAACCATGCATGATTGTTGTATTAACGTAGGCTTATGAAGTGGGCGCCTCAGAAACTATGTTGATACATTAATGCTCATTTTACACTTTGTGGGTTGCAATTGGGATTATAAATGCTCCTGGTCCAAATGGCTGCATGTACTGATGGCTGAATGATATCAGCGAAGGTATTAAAACAAACCAAGAGGAAAGGATCAGACTCTTCTATAATATTACTTTATTCCAGACATGTAAATGACAAGGATAGTGCCGTCTGTATTATTTACCACACACCAAATAAGCGAATGCTGCATGTAGTGGAAGTTTTAATAATGAAAATGAACAATTCCCAGTATATAAATAGAAGTTATTTATAAATTTAAAGTTACCTTGGTAAGTCTAGATATAGTAATGCATCGTTTTGTTTCATTTATTTTGCTTTACATTTTCTCACCATAACTAGGGACGCCACCGCGACCGACAAAACTAGCCCGAATTGACCATTACTGAGAAAAAAATTTTTTTTGCTCTTTACGTGAAAGATCAAATCGGACAATAATCAGGAGTTATTGGAGAGAGGCTAGGCTTTGACCTTACATGGTTTTGACGCGCATACGATAAATCGATTTTTTTTTTGGCAGCACGCAGTGAATTAATGATAAGTAAGTTCGTAAATATCTTCCTAATTAGCCAGATTAAGGCAATTTGTGGTGTATTTTTGAATTCTGCGTTAATTTTTTATATAAGTATGGAAATTTTCACAAAGATTGGCTGAGATCAAATGTTTAAAAAAAAAATTTTGTGACATCACTGTTTTTGCTTCAAATCCAATATGTCTGCACTAGAAGACTGTTTGTCCCACTTTATAATTAACTTAAAATAATTATTAAATTAGCTAGGGTTATTTTAATAATTTTTTTTTAAATCCACAACCATTGTAGTATTTGTTCATACATCTGTCATTATTTAAAGCTCTTCGTATTATTGTTGGAGATATTTTTGCCTGATCACCCCCAAATCCCAATAGTTAATTTCAGCCATCATTGCAAATTTTCTAAGATGATTCTTTAGTAATTAACTTAATGATGCTTTTGATTTGAGATATTTTTTACAAAAGAAAAGCAGTGATATGTCTATGAAGACAACACTGTATAACAATGGTCCTTGAATTCCACCTGCCAGATGGATATTTCCATAGTGGCTTTATAGATATAGCAGCAGCATGTGTGAAACTGTGGTGAAGACATAATCACATCAAAACCCCACGGTATATCAATCATCCATGCAGTCTCTGTCTGTCTACCTATCATAAGTGTCTATCTCAATTCCCTTTTTTCTTGTTTCAAATGTAGAACACCAGTTCTATTTATTGTTATGCCCCCCCCCCTTACTCCCCCCCCCCCCCAACCTTGGGCCACAGAGTGAAAGCTCATGCACCACTGGATCAATAACAACAACAATTGTTATCCCTCATGTATGCACAGTATCATTTATTTCTCATGACTAGTTGATACTTTTACGTGCTTTATGTTGTGGAGACATCCACATTTATACGCTTTCTATGTCAGTTTTGTTCAAAAATGTATAGCCAGATTGTGTCTTTTTTCTTCTGCCTTCTATGCCTTGATGGGGCATTAGTCCTCAATCAACTCACGCTGTCATTATAATCATTGCTATTACCTTTGCTCTCACAGTGTCCTCCCTATCTTGTTAACTTAACTTTCTAGCTCCCTTCTGCATGTGTTTTTATGGTCTTTGTATATTTTTATGTCCCTGTTGGTTCGAGTACACAACTTGTTGGCAGACAACTATAAATGTATAAGGTTTTTGCTGAAAGAAAGTCAGTTGATGGCCATTTTCATATTTTAATTAGGTCACATCTACTGACATTGGTACATTTTTGTGTTCACCTTATCGGGACTAACAATTTAATATGTATCTTGAAAGGCTCGCCATAACAGTATAATATAAAGGTATAATGGTATCATGTTTTGCTTGAAAATAGTCAGCTGGCGACCATTTTCATGTGTTAATTAGGTGCATATTGTATTTTATGTTTTTAAAACCTGCATATACAGTTAGATATAACTGTCCCGCTTCCAGCAATATATGGTTGCTAAGAGATTTGTTCAGAAACAAAATAGCTATGGCTGTAAAATGCAAACATTGAGTCATTTCATCTTACTGGGGAATCCAGCTTCCGGTCAAAATGGGCGCTAGGCGGGCCACTGTTTTTGGACCCGAGAGCAAATTTTGTGCTTCTACCGGACGGTGGCTGATGCATTTTTGTTCCATTTGTAGACTGGATATAGTTTCGTCGCCCAGCTTCTGAGTTGAATGCATGGCGTGACACTGTGAGCTGCGGATTTCATTTGGGATGTTTTTTCGACTGTGACCAACGTGGTGGTGTGAATTGTAGATTCAGAAAATGGCGCCATGCCTGTCGTCGCAATTTTGGTGGTGGCCGTAAGTGATTAAAATTGATCGCATGGGCAACTGCAGATCTGTGGGTGACTTCTGCTACCATCAATGATGAACTGCATTTCTAATGTCGGACTGTTTGTGTTAGCACTTCGGATGGCTACCATATGCTTTAATGCGAGTGTATGCTAGATGCTGAGACAGCAGTCTGTCAATCTTTCCACAAGGGACTGTGATAAACATTCTGTGTGTTTTTCGTTGGCACGGGAGCGGAGCAAAGATGGGGTGACCCGTTTGCTATGAAGCTGAAACTAAGACTACCAGACCAGATCCATGTTTTGTCCATTTCCACTATAATTTGTCTGTGGTGGTATCTGTCACTAAAATGTTAATAACTCCGCTTAGAATCAACTTACAGGCTTAAATGGGGTACCATTGGATTTGTAATTTTTATCTCTATCTAGCTGTTATGGTTTCGTAAGTTAAAAACCCAAAATATAAAACTTCACTAGCATCCCTAGTAAGTCACATGACTATCGCGAACTTCCGATAATAGAATGAACAATATATCAAGGGAGATCATTTGTAATTTAGTGGAATTTTTTCAATAGTGTGGTAATGATACGTTAATGCAACACTTTGCTTGCGCGTTTTCCCTTCACTATTTGATTCCACATTGCCATTCACTTATCTGCTGACTTTTGTTTGCTAATATTTTTATTTGTTTATTCATTGGTGTTAAATTAATATTACTTCTTTATAACTGTAGTATTTCAGCTTTGTTGTTTTATTTTTCAGTAAAGACCTTTGTTGAAATGTTCATTTGTATCTGTGTGTTTCCATTTGACAAACTTTCTGTTTATATTTTCTGTTCATTCATATTTGTTTTGTAATCACTATAATTTTCAATGTGGCCAGAGCAAATAGTTCTTGAGACTTGATACTATTTATGAGCCAGTTTTCTTTTATGCTTACATATTATACACTGTGATTGTTATTTTTTGAAGTACTTTTCTGAGATCTTTTCTCTAACATTCAAGTTTTTAGCTCTCCAGTTTTCATGAGTTTTTTGGAAAATGGCCAGTCATTCACATCCATGTTTAGAGGCAAGTTGCATGCTCTCACAATGTTTCAGTTTTATTTGGGGGCACTAGCATGATTTACTTGCTAACAGTTTGGGCTCAACACAACTGTTCTACTTTTTTGTATTAACTTGATTTGATGGGGATTTTTCAGGTGATGGAGAAATCATTCACGTTAAAGGAAACAAAGGTGAAAAAGCTGAGGTCAAGCGGGAAAGCTTTTGGAATGCTGTAAAAGATGGTCTAGCAAAAAAGAACAATAGCAAAGATGCAGATTGGAGGTTGGAAAGTTTACTTTTATGGTTTTCAAGTTTAGGAAAAGTTATATTGCCACATTTTTTTTTCTCCTATTAATGTTTCTTTATAAGAAGCTTCAGTCCTTTTAAAATTGAAAACGTTTTGTTTGTATTTGTTATACTGTGAAGCTTGCTTACTTTTCATTCGGTTTAATATTTGTTATACAGTGAAGCTTGCTAATATACTTTTCATTCAGTTTAATATCTTTTCTTGATATTTTTAAATTAAAAGAGTGAAATCAATAAAACATGGTGATTCTCTACATAAACTTGTTGACTTTCCAGCACAACTTAAGAAGAGATGTCATTTTCATCCTATAAACTGCAATATTGTTGAAGTATTGTTTCAAATCCAAAGCTGCTGAAATGTCTCTACTCGACAGAATATAGATCAGCTGAGGTGAGAGCTCAGGAGTTGCCATAACCATCCATTATATGGTGCCAGTAGGATTCTGATTATATGTCCCTTCTGCATTCCTTTGAGCATTCAGTTTCATTCAGATCTACTGGCGACTTAGTGTATCTTTCTGTCTTTCAGTGATGATCTATTATAGTTCGTTCAACATCTTATGAACACACTCGCAAGCCATTTTCTCGAAAACTGCCTGTTAGATTGCAACAATTTTTTGCATGCAGCCTTAGAATATCTATGACCTAAAAATAATGGTATTCTTTAGTTCATAGATGCTCAGAATGCTAAATATCAGCCAATTCCTTTGATCTTTTTGAACCACTTTTAGATTTGTCAGTAAAGATTTGAATTTCCGGTTATATTTTCTTAGAGAGGCATGTCTTCATAATACATTGATAGGTGAAGTAAATTTATTTGTTGTCATTTATGTTCCGTTGAGTTGAGCTGAGTCAAGAAATACATCACAGCACTCGGGGCATTCTCATATGCCCTCCATCCCCATCTTCAGCAGCCAGTGCAGAGTTCCAATACTAATGGTACTGATTATATGTCCGTCTTGTCATTCTTCTGAGTGTAGTGTGCCGGTAGGCCCTCTGGTCACACCCAGGTGTATCATTCTCTCCAGGCCGGGATAATCTATTTCCTCTTCTGATTTCATTACTTGTTCTCAAAGGGCCTTGACCACATCTGCCTTGTCATGTATCAACTCACCACTTAGTGGTGCAGGTCCAGCCAATCTGTCTGCCTTGCTCAATTATAAACATGTCACCAGTATGCAACTGTCAGTATTCCCTTTCAGTCCAAATTAGACCCCACGGTGTATCTTAACTGCACAGCAAAGGAAGTTTTTTAAGAAAATGACTTGCATGTGTGTTTATTTATTGTTAAACAACTATAGCTCTTCTGTACTGTTCTTGTATTCCACGAGGGCCTTGACCATATCTGACTTGAATCAGTTTTGTTTGATAAATTTTCTATTTATTATATTTAGTGTTTGTTTATGTTTTTTTAATATTATTCGTCATTTTACCACCTGGTGGTGCAGACCAGCCAGTCTGACTGCTTGTTCAATTTCCAACCCATTATCATTCCATGGAGGAAAAATCCAGAGGATGCTTACTACCTGTAACTTTTTTTTTTATAAACAATTTACTGAAAGGTGATTTTCAAACATCATATGCTGATATTATTTAAAACTAAAGATTTAATAAGTACAAATTTGTAATGGTATGTAAAATGCATGTCTATTGCCTAAGAGGGCTCCTTCTCACTTTTGATCCATTTCTTTGCATTTTCCTAATTTAGCTGAAAGAACATCATGTAGCAGGTCCTTTGTAGAATGTCATCCTCATCCTGTTTTGCCTGAAAGAAACTTGGTCTCTTGCCAGCTCTTCTGTTTCATGCACTTTCAATTTCAAGGAGTCACTTATATCCTGTTCCCATCTTCATATTGGTCAGCCCCTTTCCTTCCTTCCTAGTACCATGCTTCTGCTATTATTTTTTTTTTTTTTTGAAATCTTCCATGTCGCTTCATATTACCAAAATATTTCAGCTTACAAGATAAGATGCTGTTAATTAGCCAGTCATCATTGATGTTAAGATCTTTTAAAATGTCATTATTTCTTCTCTTCTTTGTCCATGTTATTTATATTATCTTTCTATATCATTTAAGCTCAAAAGCCCCGATGTTTTCCCATTCTGCATACATGTCCAAACCATCGTAACTGTGACTGATCCACTCGGGTTTGTAAGGTCTGGGTATCAAGATCTTGACGTATTGTCTGATTGCGGACTTTGTCCCTTCTTGTCACTTGGACCACCTTTCTCAGATATCTCATTTCCGAGGCCTGCAGCTGGCTTCTGTGAGCTGTTGTCATTGCCCATGACTCACACCCATAGGTCAGGACTGGTACATAGGTAGAGCGGTAAACAGCCATTTTCGTCCTCTTGCCAATTTCTCTTTTGCTAAGAAACCCTCGGTTTATGGCCTGGAAGAGTCTCCCAGCAGCTGCTTTTCGTGTAGCCAGCTCGGTCTTAATGCCTCCATTTCGGTCTAATACAACTCCAAGGTATTTGAACTGGTTAACCTGCTCCAATGCATACTGTCCCATCAGGATCTGGTGTTTCTTCTCCTCTCTTGAGATCACCATGGTTTTAGTTTTGGAGATACTGATGGTCTTCCCTCTATTTTCAAGCTCTTCCTTCCAGACAAGTAAGTTGGACTGAAAGTGTGCCTCTGATTTAGCTATCAGGGCCACATCGTCTGCAAATGCCAGCTCTGATATACAGATTGGTCTCATCTTCCAGTACCCTACAGAGTACTTCTTTGTCTTCTCCTTACGGGTCTTGATGACATCATCCATCATAAGAATGAAGAGGTGAGGTGAGAGAATATCACCTTGTCTAACACCGCTGGTGGTCTTAGATTCTTCTGATTTTTGCTCTGCCGTTCTTACGTAATTTCTGCAGCTTTTGTAGAAACTCTGTATTGCACTGATACATATCACACAGACATATATACACAAACACATTTAATCGAGTAACAGAAAGTATTGTGAACGGCACTCATAGAAAGAAGTAGAAAGATAGAAGAACACACTAGACAACATAAAAATCGAAAGCTATAGTTACCGTGCCGGGAATTGAACCTGTCACCTCCAGACGGCGTCTGCGCCTCGCCATGAATACAAGTGCACTAAGATACATGGTCAACTCGGCACCCCCAATAAAAGGTGTCTCATTGGCCATGTCTATCGTACAGCTTGAAATCCACGACTATGGAATACGGACAGAATTCATTTCAACCAATTGAAATGGCACCATAGGTTACAGAAATTTATATTAACGAGGCAAATGTCAAATAACAATCACAGCAACAATTTACGTACACAGTAGACCTAATTGTATCATACGCACACGCGGATATACATGCGTACCTAACAGACATTCATGTATACATTACTCACACAGACTCCTACTTGTACAGACTAGTAGAGTTACACTGGAGGGGCTACTGCATCGGAGGACTGAGTATGCAGGGGAGTGCGCAGTATCTAAAGGCGTTGATTGTAATAACCTGTACAGACTATGGTGCATACACTCAATGCATGCAGAGAGCTAAAGGTACTGGACTGGATTCTGTCCATGATATTGAAAAGACTGCACAGAAGAGAGCGGAATGGAGAAATAGACATTGAGTCCCATGTGACCTAACTACGGCACAAGAAGTTGATGATGACACTGTGTTGTGAGTTGTCTGAAACAGCCAAAAAAAATTTTTTTCTTTTGTTTAGTAGTCAGAAGTTTGATAGAATAAAACTCAACGTAACATGAAAGTCAGTAGTTAGTAAACAATAAGTAAAGGACCATTTTCGTGCCGTTGGTGTAACTTGTGGCGCTTAACCAATATTTGCATAGACCAGTCAGCTCTAATAACTGATGTGAACATTCACACCCAGTACCAAGAGTTCATTAATGTTACACACTCGTGGACTTCAGATGATCATTATTTTTTTTTTTTTTTTTTTTTTTTTGCTCATTGTAATTAATAATTATTATAGATTATCAGTTTATGTAAGTAATGTCAGTATAAAATACATAAATATAAATTTTTTAATTTATAGGTTATAAGACCTCCATTAACATCGTTCATGTGATTCAATCGGTTTTGTTTCATGAATTTCTTGGGTGCATAATTACTAGATATTGTAGTGAGGGAGAGTGCAAAAAAAGGGTCTGTCTCTGAATATAAAGAAAACAGAGGTAATGGTTGTATTAAAGAAAAGAATACCACCACGATTTAGAATAGAAGGTAAAAAGTTAATCCAAGTCGATGCATTCAAATATCTGGATACAATCATAACATCAGAGGAAAGAAGTGTATCAGAAATTAAGAGCAGAATAGGCCAGGCTGAGGCTGCATTTCACAGAATGAAGAGCATTTTGTGCAACAGGTCCCTCTCTTTGGATATTCGAAAGAGAGTACTAAAATGTTATGTAGAACCTATATTGCTGTATGGTGGTGAATGCACAAATTATAAAGACCTTGGAGGCAACGTAGATGTGATTTTTCAGACATATGTTGAGAATCCCTTGGACTGCTAGAGTAACTAACCAGGATTGCTTGAGGGAATTAATAAAAGCAGATTAATATATACAGCTATAAGGAAAAGACAAGCACTGTTCTTTGGTCATGTGATGAGAGAAGAGGGGAGGCTATGCAGAATATTGTAATGACTGGGAAGATCATCGGTAGAAGAGGGAGAGGCATACCAAGAGAGATGATGACAGATGGACTGCACCATCGCAGTCCATCTGTCATCATCTCTCTTGGTCTGCCTTGGTGGCATGGAGGGATATCATCGGTGGAACTGATCCAGAGAACACGGGACAGAGATCTGTGAAGATACATGAACGCCTATGCCAGTCGGCAGGGCACTTAATGATGATAGATTATAAATTCATTTAAGTACAGTAAATGTAAAGTAAGTAAATGTGAATAGTGTGTAAGTTTATATGTAATTTGTTATTGTTATGTGGTTGCGCGATAGCTTTCGCCCTCTGGCCCAATGCCATGTAGTGGAATTTGCATGTTTTCACAAGCTGTTCTTTTCCTCCGTACAAAGTGTTCCACTTTTCTGGTCTCAGAGATAGTAGCATTCTTCTAGTCTCGCTGAGTTTTGGGCACTCAGAGATGATGTTCAACAGTTTTGTAGGGGTGGTTACATAGCTGGCACTCTTGGGAGTGTTGTGGCTCTATTCTGTTTAGATGTCCACTGAGTGGAGATAGATATATTGTTTGTTTCTGGCTGCTGCCCGGGGAGGTAAGTAATCCACAGACACCCCAGCACCACAATGCCATATAAGTAATTTGAATGAGCCATCTATGCCCCTAGAGGTGTTTTTTTTTTCCTTTACTGGGGGGCAAGGGGTTAATATAAGCTCTTTTTTGTATAGATCAAGCTCCACTCAGTAGGTCATCATCATCATAAGCCACTTCTGTCACTAAGTGTCATGGGGAGCAATAATTTGTGATCCATTGCACGCTGGTTGGCACTGGCTGTTGTCATGCCGTGAAGGCATAGTGTCTTTAACATTGTCAGTCAATGTTTTCATGGCTCTCCTCTTGCTCTTGTAACTGATCTTCTGAGATGTAGAGCCTTTGTTGGTATTTGATGTTGCTGCATTCCAATGAGATGGCCAAACCACTTGATCTGCTGTTTCTTGGTGAATCTAGTACAAGGTATCGTTCCCACAATCTGTCTCACAGTATCTTTATTCACTGGATCTTGAATGGTTGGTTGGCAGCTTTTCTCAGGCATCGTATCTCGCAGGTGGTGATTTTGTGTATAACAGCATTAGATAATATTCTTGTTTGGCACTGATAGCTCGTGTTGGTGTGAATGTACTGTTTATAATCATTTTGTTGTTTTTGCTTTCATAGTTATGTTTAGAGAGTTGCTATGGTGTAGCGGCTAGACGCTTACCTGCCGATTGGAAGGTCATGTGTTCTAGCTCTGACGGAGCAGGACTTTTAAAAAAAAATGACCTTGACTCCCAGGTCGACCCAGGTGCAGTCCTGGGAAGTACAGGTGGCTGGCGTGATGCTGACCACATCACCCACCAAGTACTGATCGGTCTATAAAATATATGTCTTGCCCTGTATGCCTGAAGGCGTGGAAAAGGGTCCTTTTCTTAACTGTAGTTATGTTTGGATGTCTTATTAATGATAACTGGTATTTAGGTGCACTTGCTTTCTAATATCTTATTTCTTTCTCTCTGTCAATTCTGCCATCTTCTGTGATCATACTTTCTAGATATTTAAAAACTATGACTTGTTCAAGGCCAGAACCATTCAGCTGTACATGTAATTGGCCAGGGATTCTACTGACTTTCAGTGTTTTGGTTTACGTAAACTTTTTACTCAATAGGTAAAGTGATTACTTTCATATCAGCAGCCTTTGCTGACCTGGTACCAGTTTTATACAGACAATATCACATGCCATTTCTAATTTAATTGCCTATTTCACAGGCCCCTAGAACCTGAGGACATTGTTGAAAGAGCCAAGTGGTTGATTGGAAAATGGGAATATGATGTTGTTTCAGAAAATTGTGAACACCTTGTGAACTGGTGCAGATATGATGTAAAAGTAAGCGAGCAGGTGAGATAGATTAATTGTCATTGGTGTTTTAACTTACATAGAATAGACTGCGTTATGAATTGATGTTTCAGTTTACATAGAATAGATGACATTTTTGGTTGTTTTGCTTACATAACATAGTAGCAGAAAGTTTTTTTGTAAATAAGGGATTTTTTAAGCAAGTCAAAAGTCTTAAAGAAATGGGAAAACCACAAAATGAAACAGGCAACAAACATATTTTTATTATTACTATTATTGTGGCACTTAAAGCTTAGGCCCCTAGATCGTCGTCCTCCCTGGACCATCCCTCACGCCTGGACCGTCCTCACCCCTAGAAAATTTAAACAAGTGGGCTGAGAGTTTCTCTTTCCTCCCATCTGTTTTCTTTGTGTCACCCCTGCCAACAAGTTTGCTGATATTTTAGAATTCACTATTATACATCATGATTAACTTTATTTAGCTGTTAAGAACAATCTCACGTAAATATCCGAAGGTATAGTTGTGATGACTGTCGCTTTTCTTTTTCTGAATCAAACAGGTTGACAACTTTATTGAAAACATGTTGAAACTCCTTGTGGCTGCTGGATCGATTACTTTAGTTACCGTTGGAGGTGTGGCTATTTACAAAAGCTGTCAACCTAAAAAAGAAAAAAAGTAATCCGCAGTGATGGACTGGCCAGGACGTCAGCTTGCCTGATAAAGATTGTTTCATGTGATATAAACCCATGTTTGTCTTTATTCATGTAACCTACCTAGAATATCCTAATCACCTTGAAAGTAGCCTTTTTGCAAGTGCACACACTTCAGTGTGTTTACAAACTTAATTAAGGAAATCATTTAATTATAGTTAACTAGTCATTTGTATATGAGAACGCTGCTGATCAAATTACAACCAGACATTAGTACATTGATATCAGTTTGACAGGTCCACCCTTATCTTAACATTACTTGAAACTGGTTTTTTTTTGCGCGTGGGTTGGGGGGGGCGGGGTGTTACATTTCTTTATGTGGTTCCAGGGGCCTCTTGGAGAGGAGAAATTACACCAATGCCCCACTAACAAGCATGTCATGAAAGGCAGCTATTAGGAGTTTGTTGAAATCATATGTGTTGGGCCAAAAGGTAAAAATATCACAGCTTAGCTGTAAACCACACGCATGGTGCTATCCGCCCTTTTAAAGGTAAATACAGAAGACAAAGATGTAACAATATTTTTCTATGTATCAATAGTTTCTGTGTGTAATGTCCCCATGGGTTAATAAAGCATACATTTAATTTCAAGCTTCAGTGTGTTTTATGTACATTTTTCTTGACCATGTTGTGAGCTGTAGGAAAAACATATATTTTTTTTTTTTTACAAATTCATTTGTTGCTGCTACCTTTTGTGTAACTGATTACAGAAGGTCGAATTGATTAATCCTTACCCGCACAGGACTGCAGATTACACCTAGTTTGTGTAGCCACTAGAGTTTACCCAGTTACAACTTGTTTAGAGGTTGAACCGGGTATCTTGGACCTGCCTTGTTGGTCTGTAAAAAGTGTGTCAGACCTTCAGTAAGCAGCTTTCCATGGGGCACTGTCTAATCTCCGTCTGCTTCAGGGTGCTGTAGAGGCTTTTGACAAGCATCAATGTGTTGTTGCTTCAGTTCCAGAGTAAGCTGCTGTGGCACCCACCTTACAGATACTTTGCGCTGCTGGAGCACATCATGACTGATGTGGTGTGCTGAACCTTGAGTGATGTGAAGATGTGCACTAACTTCACTCACAGTCAGTTGGAGGTTTTCCTTTACAAGGTTTTCAACTTCTGCAATCGACTCTGGAGTCACTACTTGTTCGTGATCTTTAAACTGTGATTATGATGTTACCATGTTCGTCTACACCGTGAAGTCACATGCCTAACACTCTTGACATCCTTAATAATCTTGACAGGTTACAAAAGAATGGCATGGTTAGTGTAATTTCTATCACACACTTAAGTTTTTTTGTGAAACCTCTTTGTAAGAAAGGGGCAGTAAGCCAGATAGTTTCTGGAATCTGTGACTGACATAAAGTTAGCCTGATCAATGACTACCGTGCCTTTTAAAGCCAGCATGTGGTCAAGGCTCGTTTGGAGAAGATGAACACTATGGAAGCACAAATAGATCATGATAGCTAGAAAGAATGGTGCGGTGGGAAGTGACCAGGTGATCTGGGGGAGACCCTGAACCTGGAGGAAAGGCAAGACAGACCTATGATTAGACTGCTACTGTTACCATTGGAACTCCTTGCTGTCTGCTGAAAATGGGAATGTCTAGAGTACTGTGATGTTGATTATTTCCAACTCAGTTCAGTTACATCCTTTACAGCAGTGGCTCCCAAACTTCGTAATGCTGTGATCCTTGAATACAGATCCTCATGCTGTGGCTGTCTCCAGACAAACAATTACTTTCCTTACTACTTCATAACTTCAATGAATTTGTGTTTTCCTATGGTCTTCCTAAGGCGACCCCTGTACAACGGTCATTTGATCCAAAAAGGGGTTGAGAACTGCTGCTTTACAGCATGGACTGCAGTGTTGAAGAGCAGCTAAAGAAATCATATGATGACTGGATCTTCAACCTTGATCAGACTGTAAGAACACCAAGTCAAAAGAAGTGAGGCCTAATGAGCACTTGGTAAGAGACCAATTAGGACCAGTATATGTCACTTGTGGCTGACCGTCTATTCCTCCATTCCATTCTATCCTGTGCAGTCAGTTCAATGTCATAGGTGGACTCTAGTCCTGCACCTTTGGTCTCTCTCATCAGCGTTCATTTTAGGGTTTATCAGATTTACAGCTGCTGATGACCGATGCAGTGCGCATCGGGCATTTGGGTGTCCTCACCTCCTTAAACCCGGTGCCATTTAGTCGACTTTTACGACTTAGAGGAGCAAGTGACCCTCTAAAAACGGGGGTCCTGAAGCACACATGGGGAAGGCGGTAAATAATTTGCTGCATTTATTATGCAAAACAATCAATGTCAATCCACATGAGAAATAGTCACCTTCACAATCACAAATGATAAAATGGATACTCTGACCAGAAAGCCTTTATTAAAATACGACACAAACAGGCAATGATACAGTTACAAACAAGAATGTATAAACTGACTTAAACAGTATTATGAAAATATACAGTGCAGGTGAGATTTTTTTTTTTTTTTTTTGTATCCAGAAACCATGAGTTAACCCTTAGGCTCGTAATTATGGATGTCGCAACCTTTCGGCCTTGATTCCATAATAAATACCGTAAATCTGGGAGAAATGTGGCTTTTCTGCCTACCCCCGGGAGTGAACCCGGACCACAAGGAGTTCGTCACCCGGTCACCGCGCAATCCGGTTTAGCCAACTACACTAGCGAGACGGGCTGCAGGTGAGATAGGCAGGCACAAACAGGTAGTAGCAGCCAGCACCTATCCATGTGTCCAGAGTACCGCAAAGAGAACTGAACTCATGACTCGGATGTTAGCAGTTCTGGGGAGACAAGATACTTGAGATGAACTGCAGCGATGCAAAATGGTGAACTCCAGAGATACAAAAAGTTTAATAGCGGAAATGTAAAAAAATAAAAATAAAAAGTTAACATTAAGATATAAAAATGTGAACTGTAGAGCTTCAAAAAAGATGAACTGCAGAGATATAAAGAGGTGAGCAGCAGAGATACAAAGAGGTGAACTGCAGAGATACAAACAGGTGAACTGCAGAGATACAAAGAGGGAACCTAACTACATACAAAAAGATTACCTTGCATATTTTAATAGTGGTGAACTGCAAAGATACAAAAGGTGAACTGCAGGGATGCAAAAAGGTGCAGAGATACAGAGAGATGAACTACAGAGGTACAAAGAGGTGAACTACAGAGGTATAAATATGTGAAGTGCAGAGATAAAAAGAGCAAACTGCAGAGATACAAAAAGATGAACTGCAGAGATAGAAAAAGGTTGCATCCCCCATTACTCTTCCTTAGACATTCGTAAGAAATAATTTACACTTGTCTATACAGTGATATCTCGAGTCACGAACGCCTCTAGTCATGAGCAAATCAGCCTATGGACACGCATTTTGACTCGACATGCGAACAATTCCTCGGCTCACGAACGCACAAACATGGTTTTGACACAGTTTTTAGCTCGCGAACAGCATCACTTGTACTCAGGAAGAAGTTGTTGCCTTGCAACGCGAACATGTCAGTTTTGCAGGGTCTACTTAGGAGAGGAAGAGCAAGAGATGGTACATGTTTCAAGGTGCTGAGGTCAAAAAAATGTGTAGCAAGTGGTTCGAAGTGCAGGTTTTCATTGAGAGCCATCAGCCTAACAAATCTGACCAGCAGAGCAGTGGGTATTTTAAATGTCAACGTGATGTCCCAATTGTGGAAAATGTTCTAACAAAGAAACATTCACATGCCTCTGGGTCGTTATCTTGTTAAAACACCAACCACAGAGCTAGTAGTCGAACCATCGTCATTGGCACTTTTCCGTCTTTCGAGACGATAGTGTTATATTGCGTTATGAGGAGGCATGGGCTTACAGCCCATGACGATGGCGAGTGTGACTAGCAAGACCCGCCCGTGATAGATAGAAAAAAGGTGCCTCCCCATTACTCCTTGTATTTAGCATGTTTCTTCTCAAACGCTCAGCTCCCATCCTTTCTGCAATCATTTCTTCTTCATTCGCATTCCCTTCCTTATGTGCTCCCTCCATAAAACACGGTTCGTGGCATTTTTATCCCACGAGTCCACCTCAGTACCTGTATCATTCATGTCCCGCTTGAACACATCTTTATATAGCAGTAGAGGTCGGCCTGGATATCTTCTATCCGTTTTTAATTCACCATAGAGGATGTCCTCAGGAACTACTGCAGTCGAACTACTTTCTAGGATACAAGCAAGAGAGAGGAAGGGGGGTGGCGCCACATACACACACACACAGAGAGAGAGAGAGAAATATCTAAACTACCTGAAGAGTTGCCCGATGTTATTATAGAATGGAACTCTCCTTGAAGGAGTAGTCTTCCTCTATCCTCTACCATTTACCTATGCAAGTTACTATCAACTACAAAGGTAAAGTTATAATGTATATTTTAAACTATATATTTTTGCCACACGTGAATACATATTAAAAATATAGCAGTTTGTTTTTTGGGGTGGCGAATGGATACATTTCAATGCAAAAATTGTTTCGGGTCGCGAACATTTCGGTTCGCGAACGGATTCAAAGAGACAATTACGTTCGTGACCCGAGGTACGACTATACTTTCAAACTGTGTCGGCGTCTATTAGTTAGAAGATTTGAACAAAGTTTTGCAATCCCAAAATACCGATGTTCGAAATCAGCTGCAGGCTGATAACGGTGTGAACACCAAACTGCCCAGCTTATAATGGCAAATGTATAAACATGAGGTAACAGAAGTTTCAACTTTATAGCAAATGGGTCATCCGTTAGTCCAGGGCTATTCAACTAAGTTTACTTAGAGGCCACAATTTTGAAAATATGGATCATCACGGGCCAGAGGCCCTAATCCCAGCATTGAGAAATCATTAATACAACTGGCAATGATCCGCGGGCCACTTGCTAGGCCTCCGCGTGCATGATTTGGCCCGCGTGCCACCAGTTGAATAGCCCTGATTTGGTTGCTTCATTGCA